TCAGTGACTTGATACTCGGTCCAATCGAGCGTTGTCGACGTGACCTCGATACTCGGTCCTCGGTGTCCTATTGATCGTTGTTGACGTGGGTCCTCTGCAAGTGGGTTGGTATATGGGTCCGTGGTGATCGTTTGTGTACGAGATCCACGTTGTATCCACTGCAGTCCTTTTCGTACAATCTCGGTTTGTATAACCAATATTGCGAGTGTTGATTATACTGGGTATCACTGACGCGGCTTCACAGCTCGGTCAATCGATACTGCAGTTCCTTGGCTGCTCTCGTCTCGTTGCGTAGTCCTGTTTGTTCAGTGTTGTTTTGCGAGTTGTTCATGGATCGTAACAGTCTACTCTGTACTACTCATTTGTTACCCAGTTGTCACGGTGTTTGACTATGCAACTACTCCACCCCAATCCTCTGATACTTCACTCATCCCTCACAACCAATTGAACCGTGTTTACGAGCTTTGCTTAAAGCACAACTTCAACACATAGCTCCTTATCAATTGAATCACTCTTTTCAGGTACCAGCATACTTTGCGTAAACCTTTACAAACAAGAGGCATGTCTCTGGTGTTTTATAGACTGGTAGTTAGGACTTGGAATCTTATGGAAGCCCATAGAACCTCATGTCACATGACCCAAAGAACCCGCTGTCACAGGACCCAAAGTTGAACCATCACACGAACATCCCTGCTCTGCAGACCCACCTACACTACGCCAGATACCACAGTACATCCCTCCCAGGCCTCTACCCTATACAAAACATAGTCACGTGTCTGTGAGACATTACTATTACAGTACTACGGCTGGCCTGGCCACTATCAATCAACTACGCTATTACCAGGGTCAACGCTACCAATCAACCGATCACGTGCCCATCACTGAGCCGTAGTAGTACTTGTTGGATACGCTGCCGATGTACTTCAAAACCTGAATATCATTATGCCTCACCCGGCCACACCTCGTTAGCAACCTCCCTTACCAACCGCAATTTCCTCTTCATCCCCTCAATGTCAATCAAATTCCCCTCCGCATGACTCGCAAATCCACACTGCGGACTAATCCCGCACCTATTGAGCGCCTCCTCTCTCGTCTCCCCATGGCCCTTTGCCATAACATCCGCCGCCGCATAAATCCTCCTCTTGAGCTCCTCCTTGTCCTCCAGCTCCGGAAACTTGCTCGTCACAACACCCAGAATTACGTTTTTATTTTTAGGTAGGTGCGCGAGCGGCTCGAAGCCGCCGGCACGCGGCGTGTCGTACTCGAGGTAGTATGTGTGGACGTTCAGGTGCTGGAAGAGCTTGGTCGCGATCCGGTCGTATCCGCCTTCGCTGAAATGCCGGCTGTTGACGAAATTGCCCCGACAGAGATGCACGCCGATATGCATGTCCGGTGGGGCTTGGCTGATACAGGAGTTGTAGAGTTGGATGTAGAGATCGAATACGTCGTCGGCGGAGATGGTGTTGTAAGTGTCTTCTTTCCAGCCGATGAGCATTTTTTCGGAGCAGAAGTCTATTGCAAGTTAGATGGTGTATTTGGGTGGTGGGGGAGGGAGACAAACAAGCTAGATTGGGGTCGTCAAATTGTACGTTTCGAAGACCGGCTTTGTAGAGGATGTCGAGTTCGACTTGATACGCTTTCGCGACGTCCGCGAAGTACCCCTTATCGTTGGCGTACACATCCTTGGGGTACGCTTTCCCGTCGACATACCTCAGATGATACCAGTTTGGCGCGGCGAGTGTCAATTTGATATCCCCCCACCTCCCCTTCGGTAACAGCGTCTTCAGGTACTCCACCTGGCTCACATAAGTGCTCTCCCCCGTATGCTTGATCTTGTCTATACAGTACACGCTCTCGCCCGGCTGATGTCCACTCTCAAGAAACGCCGCAATGTCCGGGACATATGTCCTGAATGTATCGAGCGGTGGGTTCTGAATCTCCTTCATGCCCTCCAGCGACGGCCAGAATGTGCCCCAGAACATGTGTCGCCGGTACTCGCCATCGCTGATGCCGTAGAAGCCCAGGTCAAGTTGTGTTTTGACGATGTCTTGGATGGCGCGGTCTTCGAGGGGAGCGAGCTCAGCTTCAGATTTGTGGTCTTTGTAGCGTGCGTCGAGGAGGGATTGCGGGCGTTTGAGGGAGCCGAGATGTTCGGCGCGGAAGGGTGGGCTACGGTGGAGGGCAAAGGACATGATGGGCGTGGAGGTCTAGTAATGGTTTGAAAAGCTCGGGCCTGTGGTTAAGTATACGGTCTGGTCAATTTGAAGGAGAGGAGAGCAGTCGAAGCGGAGCTGTCAATTCAAATGAAACTCTGAAGCCGCCGGTACTTCGTTCGACCCATATCCCTACATAGAGCTCTTAAGCTAGGCGGCCGGCCTGATGCGTGAATTCTAGGCTTACCCGTCATCGCTAGTATCGGTCCGAGTTGTCTCTCTGCAAGCACTTATAAGAGTCTTGGTCATATCGGCACTTGTGGTGGTCGCGTCACGCTGCACCGTGAACGCGCATCGAAAGGGTTTGGAGGCTGTTTACCCCGCATCGACAGGCATTATCCCCGTATCGATGACGTAAACAAATTTAAGTTGGGGGAGCTCGTGGACGTGGCAATTTGCTTAAAAAAAGGTAAAGGATTGTGGTGATGAAGGCAAAAACAGCTCGATATTTATATTTGAGGTTGTAATGAGCACCCTGATAGTAGCGTCGTGAGAAAGCAAGTGAAGAATATCGTTCCACAAAACGTGGTGCAGCGTGCAACACCAGAACCCACCAGACATGATGGTTAAAGGAGTTGAAACGGTAGCAATCGCAATTGGTTGTTAGATTGTGTGGGTACAAGGCGGTATCAAATGCTTTGAAAGAGTCGTAAAGATATCCAGAATCGTCCATAAGACCAAGGTGTTGCCGTGCTCCATTTTTGTTGCAGTATATGAGAACGGAAAAGTGATTACAACATGTAGCTCTCCGAGAGCTGTGAAGAAGCAAATGCTGACCATCGTGAGGCGCGAATGAGGACATGTGATGGACACGGCAAGTGGCCCCAAACTCGCTCCAAAGGGATCGCCTCATGGTGAACAGTGTAATCGTGATCAACGTGAATGCCATCGCCCCCAGCCATACTCCTCTTTCCAGCAGGGCTATACCCAGGAGTCTCGAAGTCATCACCCTTCTTCGCGTAGGAGCAAGTGGAGCAGCTCATATGATGGCTCTTGTCGAAAGCGATAGCGCTGTCGGTTGTTGCAATCGCCGAAGCGCCTCGACCAAAGTGGCTGTTAATGAGGTGGTGATGAGCATCGTGGCCTCGATGAGCGATAGCGGCGTCGTTGGCGACGCCTGCCCAGATGGCTGACAGAGGCAGGAAGATGCAGAGGACGGTTAGCACCATGGTGCCAACCTCAGGGACCTTGTCAAGGAGAGGTTGGTAGAATTGGATGGTCGAGAAGATAGCTAGTAGATGTTAGTCATGTCGGTGATTCGTAGACAAGGAAACATACCTGGGATGATCATGGTCTGGCAGCCCATGATGAAGACAATCTGCATTGATCCAGACTGCAGCATCTTGAGACGGCGTCGCTGAATGACGGCGTAGCCTAGCTTCCAAGTGAAGACGCAGCTGTATAGCAAGATGGCTACGGCTTGTGTGATGTACGCGCCAGCGCCAAGCCTATCAGTACCACGGTTTGTAAGTTGTATAATTGCAATGTTGGAGGCGACCACGAAGGCGAACTTGAAGCCAACGGAAACTAGTGCCATCGCAGTCGTGACGCCTATGATGAGAATGCGCTGTAGGTTGCTGGTTGTGACGCAGGCCACCCAAGTTTGAAGGCTGAGTGATGCCATGACAAGCGTAATGACAACGAGGCTCAGAGTGGTGGGGATGATGGATAAGGCGAGATCGGTAGAGGTGGCGCGTGGATACCCTGACAGCTGAGTGTACGGATGCATCAGGCCGCTAGTGACGTAGCAGGCTAAGAAGATGCAGCGCAGACTATTTGCGAAGAGGCAAAGGGCGTTGAGGATGAAGATGGAAGACTTTCTCTTCTCCGATCGTGTCAACAGAAGAAGTAGGAGCAGGAGCACGACCGATGCCCCAATCTGAGAGCCGAAGCTGATGGCTACCCGAGCAATGTAGAGCCTGTAAAGGTTGACATGTTCCATGTTGACGTTCATGATGGAACCGTCTGGAGCGTACATCGTGACATTCTGGAACCAAGGGTTGAATGTTGCAGAATCAAATGGCGCCGGAGGTGCTGGTGCCACCTCTTCCATGGTGGAACTGGTGGAGTGAGGTTGGCGGTGTGGAAAGTCCGCGGTATCGTCGAATGACAGGGGCTTGAGGCGTCCGAGCAATTGCTTGGATGTGGGACAGAAATAGACTGATGTTGGAACAAAGGGATACTTGGTTGCCAAAGGGTTGGCTGACAGAAGGGCCCAAACTGGTAGTTGGAAGCTGGAAGTTGGAAGTCGAAAGAAGGAGAAGTGCTGGTAAACTGAGAAAGGAGAGAAGAGATCAAGTAGCCCACGGACTTCAGAAGAAGTAATCGGTCACTGGTGGAGCACAATATCGGGAGATCTTCAGCGACTTTACTTTGAGCCTTCAGCTAAGCATTGTCAGCGAGCAAAAGTGATAGCCAAACGACAATAGTAGCTACAACTGCTGCTTTGCGATTGTGATGAGGTGCCTGTACCCGTACCTTCAGCAAGACACTGCAGTCGCCATCACATTCACCTCAGACACTTCCGGACCTTACTATTGTCCTTCGATCATCTTCACCTCCCGGTACGGGACGCTCAGCTCACAGCAAACGCCGTGAAGCGGAGCACACCAAATGCTGTGATAAATGCATGTATTGTGTCTCGCGGGACCTTACAGAACAGCCGAAACATTGTCAAAAGTTTGGTTGAAGTGCTCTTTCCGGTTTCGAATTCGTGGTCGCGAAATATCGTGGTCGAGCTTACTATTGTTCTTCGAAGCGCAGAGGCCAGCTCTGTGAGACCTGTCGCCTAGATCCTTGTCAGGCCGATGGGCGCACCCATACCACTCGGAAGATCACATGATTCACAGAGGGAAGACGGTCAAAGAGTCCTTCGAGTGACCAAGATGGATGCGAAGATGGCTGCGACGTGACGCGATGACAGTAAGGAAGTCGCGTATAGCTCAATATATTCAGTGCGTGCACGGATTCAACCAACGCCCGGCGCACCACGTATAGACATTTCAACGCGTAATAACTCAACAATCATGCCAGGAATTAATGATGCGCTTGAGCAGATTCGTATATTGAAGCCAGACTAAAAACTTGTATATACTACAATTGCAAAAAAGCATGGTGTTTCTTGCACAACGTTGTCGCACGCGCATAGGCGTGTGCAAGTCCCCCAATGTAAGGGTATGTGTGACAGTGAGCTCAGTAGCAATAGGGGGGTTGCATCGTAAGATTAATTGTCACCGTCCTCTGGCCATTGTGTGCCCGATTATCTATGCGCTCTTGCTAGTACCACACTAGCATCCCAAAGGGTTAGCGCCATCGTCTCGACACGTGACAGCCTACTTCACTACAGCACTGTAACCCTGTTACATCATGTCAGGATGACAGCCACACACACAAGCTATGAGCGATATCCAGTTACAATTGCCATCCCGTAGTGATGCCCTGACCTCCTTCTTCTCCCACATACGCCTACTAAATATATGCTTGGTCCTAGCAGTGATGCCAATCATGAAGCCCTTCTCATCCATATTTGTGAGAGGGACCCAGCTGGGGATACCAACTGCTCTCTGAGATGGATGGATTGGTAGAAGGAGGGTTCAGGCTTGTTGAAGATAAGGGTGTAGAAGAGACTAAGTGTGGGGATACCACAAGTAGTGGGAAGTATAAATGATGAAGAAGGGATCAAGTGTGGGAATACCACAAAGGATCAGAGAGAAGTATAA